GGGGGGGGGGTCAAGGACGCAGGACAGACAGCCCACAGTAAGGGGGGGGACAGGCAATCATGAAGGCGAGACAAGGGGTGCCACCACAAGGGGCTACCGGTGAAAAAAATGAAGGAATGAAACAAGGCGACGACTATCGCACCCAAGACATAGGGATCTCAAATCCATATCTCGGAAGGGGGACCCGCAATATGGAAATCGCGTATCTCCCGCATTTCTGGCGGCAAAGCAGGGAGGAACCAACAAAAAAAAATAACAGACAACGCTGCGTGTCCTCCTCCTACACACCGTACACTCCTGAAAACAGACCCTTGCTTCCCAAAACAGATCCTTTCTGTTGCCCCCCAAACAATATCCGTTCTGGTTCCAAAAACAGGCCCTTTCTGTTGATGCCGTCGGAAACTTCGGCACTTGCGTCAATAGGTACAGAGACAGCAGCCTCCCATCGTGCTAAATAGCCCTTTCATCCCGGGCACGGCGGCGGGACGACATCGCACTACAATGCGGAAACCGTTTCAACGGTCGTGCGTGCGGTGACGACACTCGCCTGCATCTGCGCCAGGAGGTCCTGCTCCTTCTCGATCTCCGCCTGCTTCTCCACGATCGTCTCGTCGAACTCCTTCAGCAGCTCCTTCAGGTCAGCCTACACCAACAGAAAGAAGGTACGGTGAAGACAACAACAACAACAACAACAACAACAACAACAACAAACATCACACTCCGTTCAAACACAAAGCGGGTTAATCGTAAACTCGGGGGGCTCCGTCACATCGGCAAGGAAAGAGTGCCAGGCGGTCGGTGAACTTGTGCTGAGTGCCCGAAGATATTTGATTGATTGTAACCCGCCAAAATTCGTAAACACGAGCCGTTACAGCATCGAACAAACCACGGATGACGGGCAAAAACGCCACCCAACCTAATACACCTCGATGTAGCGTTGCGAGCAACTAAACTCTCTCTCTCTCTCTCTCTCTCTCTCTCTCTCTCTCTCTCTCTCTCTGTGTGTGTGTGTGTGTGTGTCTCTCTGTGTGTGTGTGTGTGTGTGTGTGTCTCGCTCTGTCTCTCTCTATGTGTGTGACA